AGAGATTGATCAGCATGGAGCTCTGGTGAGTTACTCAACTTTACTTTGGTGGTGGATTTTGGCACAATTTCTTTGAGAGCGCTTGAATTTGAAAAGGATTTGTTTGGACATTTGAAGAAATTCAAAATTGGACAATTTTTATATTCACAAATTTAATTACTTATGCACTAAAAAATAGTTTTGCACATAATTTTGATATTTTTTGATATTAACTGAGAATAGATATATATATATTTTGCACTAATGTTTCTACACTAAATTGGGAATAGTTTGTGGTTTTAGCGCATTCCTTTATTTAAGATATATTTAGGACAGCCTTTCTCAACCTTGTCAACACAGAGGAACCCTTGAAATAACTTTCTACTTCCAGGGAACCCCTACTAAAAATTACTATATCTACATTAGTGTGATGGTCAGTGGGAAGAATGCTCCTTAGACTTGTGGTCATTGGGAAGAATTACCCCCTTATAAAGCGCTAAAAAGATCAATGGTGTCAGTGGGTACTTATCTGGGAGGCAGAAATTGCTCAAAGAACCCTTGGTAACTTCTGGAGGAACCCTAGAGTTTCATGGAATCCTGGTTGAGAAACACTGATTTAGGAGTTGGTAAGATAATGTGCATAGATTTAGGAGATGATAGAGGGACAGGATGGGACAACATATACAGTTGTGTTCAAAATAATAGCAGTCAGACATCACTAACCTGATCAATCACTGTTTTTGGTAGAAATGATATTTCTACATGGCAAATAATTTACTAGCAGGTGTAGTAGAGTAATAGAAATCCAACAGACCCAACAGTCATGACATGCATGCTACTGATTCTGTGTCATTGAATCGCTCATTGAAAGGGGCATGTTCAAAATAATAGCAGTGTGGAGTTCTATTAGTGAGGTCATTCATTCTTTGAAAAACAGGTGGCAATTATTGCCCTTATTTAAGGAAGGAAGGCACCAAATGTTGTACATGCTGGTTACAGTGCATTTCTCTATGAAATTCTGAGGAAAATGGGTCGTTCCAGACATTGTTCAGAAGAACAGCATACCTTGATTAAAATGTTGATTGGAGAGGGGAAAACATATAAAGAAGTGCGGAAAATGATAGGCTGCTCAGCTAAAATGATCGCAAATGCTTTAAAATGGCAACCAAAACCTGAAAGACGTGGAAGAAAGCAAAAAACTACCATTCTAATGGATAGAAGAAAGCCAAAATGGCAAGGACTCAGCCAACAATCAGCTCCAGGAAGATCAAAAGAAGGTCTAAAGTTACCTGTGAGTACTGTTACAATTGGCCTATGTGAAGCCAAGCTATCTGCAAGAAGCCCCCGCAAAGTCACACTGTTGAAAAAAAGACATGCTGAAGAGGTTACAATTTGCCAAAGAGCACATTGACTGGCCTAAAGAGAAATGGCGCAACATTTTGTGGACTGATGAAAGTAAGATTGATCCTTTTGGATCTAGTAGCCGGAGAGTTTGTCAGACGACCCCCAAGCACTGAATTCAAGCCAAAGTACACTGTGAAGACAGTGAAGCATGGTTGCGAAAGCATCATGATATGGGGATGTTTCTCATACTACGGTGTTTGGCCTATGTATCGCATACCAGGGATCATGGATCAGTTTGAATACATCAGAATACTTGAAGAGGTCATACTGCCTTATGCTGAAGAGGAAATGCCCTTGAAATGGCTGTTCCAACAAAACAACGACCCCAAACACACCAGTAAACGTTCAACATCTTGGTTCCAGACCAACAAGATTGACGTTATGGAGTGGCCAGCCCAATCCCCGGATCTTAATCCAATAGAAACCTTATGGGGTGACATCAAACATGCAGTTTCTGAGGCAAAACCAAGAAATAGAGAAGAACTGTGGAATGTAGTCCAATCATCCTGGGCTGGAATACCTGTTCACAGGTGCCAGAAGTTGGTTGACTCCATGCAACACAGATGTACAGCAGTTCTCAGAAACAGTGCTTATACAGCTAAATATTAATTAAGTGATTCAAAGGAAAGCAAAATCTTCAAACATTTTTCAGTTTATATAATGAATGTTTGAGTTTGTAAAGAAGAATACAAACACTGCTATTTTTTAAAACAGTCTAATATTCACTTTTCTTCAATTTTTTTAGAGGAACAACACACATTTTATATATTTTTCTTCATGTTTTGATTTGGAATAGAATGTGTAGTGTTCCCAATGCATTTGTGTGTATGGAAATAAAAGCTATTAGAAGGATTTTGAGCTTTATTCACTTTTTTCAACACACTGCTATTATTTTGAACACAGCTGTAGGTGAGTGGAAAGATTTGAGAGAACAGATTGGCGATGTACAGTTAGGTCCATATATATTAGGACACAGGCACAATTTTAGTTTTTTCAGGTATTTACCAAAACATATTCAAGCTATAGTTATATATTGAATATGGGCTGAAAGCCAAATTGGAGGAAGGGTTTATGAATTACAGCCCTTAAGAGTAGCCACCCCCCATTTTCAAGGGACCAAAAGTAATTGGACAATTGAATATAATCCTTCATAAAATGTTCATTTGTAATATTTTGTTGAGAATCCTTTGCTGACAATGACTGCCTGAAGTCTGGAACCCATGGACATTACCAAAGATTGGGTTTCCTCCGTTCTGATGCTTTGCCTGAAGTCTGGAACCCATGGACATCACCAAAGACTGGGTTTCCTCCGTTCTGATGCTTTGCCTGAAGTCTGCAACCCATGGACATCACCAAAGACTGGGTTTCCTCCGTTCTGATGCTTTGCCTGAAGTCTGCAACCCATGGACATCACCAAAGACTGGGTTTCCCCCGTTCCGATGCTTTGCCTGAAGTCTGGAACCCATGGACATCACCAAAGACTGGGTTTCCCCCGTTCCGATGCTTTGCCTGAAGTCTGGAACCCATGGACATGACCAAAGACTGGGTTTCCTCCTTTCTGATGCTTTGCGTGAAGTCTAGAACCCATGGACATGACCAAAGACTGGGTTTCCTCCTTTCTGATGCTTTGCCAGGCTCTAACTGCAGCTATCTTCAGTTGTTCTTTGTTTGTGGGTCTTTCTGCCTTTAGTTTTGCCTTCAGCAAGTGAAATGTATGCTCAATTGGGTTGAGATAAGGTGATTGACTCGGCCATTGCAGAAGATTCTACTTCTTTTCCATCAAAAACTCTTGGGTTGCTTTTGCAGTGTGTTTTAGATCATTGTCCATTTGTACTGTGAAGCGCCTTCCAATCAACTTTGCTGCATTTAGCTGAATCTGGGCTGACAGTATATCTGTAAACACTGCAGAATTTATCCCCATCCACTCTGTGGGACTCCAGTATTCTTGCTAGTGTCCTTAGGTGATGTATAGCTATGGAAACGTTTTCTAAACCGTTCTTTTAATTTTCTTTACTACTTTGACACTTCTATAAAGATCCAGAGGTTAATTGCTTCGAGATTCACTAATGTTTTCTGGATTGCTTGCCTTCACAAAAAAAAAGTCTGGCTTTGTGAGTCAGATGCATGGTGTGGGCCAAGGACTAAGTCTGTTTATCCCGAGCTTCCAGAATGGTGAGTTGCAACAATCTGGAGTGAAGCTGGGCATATGGCACAGCCTTGAAGGAGGCAACAGTTAGACCCAAGACCCTCATGCAAGCACGAAGTGATGATCTCCCTCGGATCAACAAGGTTGGGTATGAGAGTGGAAAGACAGAGGTTTTTCCTGGGGTAGGATCTAATGTTTTCCATCAACAATACAGGCCAGCCTCGCTTCAGTATTCCAGCGACGTCTAGGTACAGTCCCCCAAGGCAAAGGCGAGGAGTCATCTGATCTGGAAGATGCAGTAGGAGCCATGGTGGCTATGGTGCAGCCAGAAATCTTGATAAGAGAATCATCAAAGACAGAGAGAAAGAGGATGAAGGTAAGCAAAGAAGTCCATCACCTAAGGACACTAATAGAAAACTGAGGCTAACTGGATCTGGAAGGCAGTGCTGGAGCAAGGTCATCCAGCGCTCAGGGCAAATATGCCAAACTGCTCCTGTATTCTCTAAAAGGGGCAGTACTGGGAGGTGGGTAGAGGGTAGAACCAAGGGACAGTGCTCGGAAGTGGGTAGGGGGTGTAGACAAGGAGTGACTCAGAGGTGGGGAGTTCCTGCACCTATTCTCTGAGAAAAGAAGCCCTGGTAAAGACTAATGTTCCTGTGTCCAGTACTGTACAGCTAAGAAATGTCCCTTTTTTGTTGACATGCACATGAAACATGAAGATGGTGGTGATCTATTTTGAGTCTGTTATTCAAAGGAAGATAAATGTATGTAGAGAGTATCGAAATCTGATTCAATATTATTTTAGATCAACCTGAAACCTGAGGTCGGGTTCAAGTTGAGATAAAATAATATTTGCCAAGATTTAGAACGTTTACCCACTTGCTCAAGCCCATAAAAAAGACTTCTGTGGAATCCTTCAGAATCATTCTTGAGTCTTTAAAGACAGTTGAAGCAAAAAGTCAACTCTTTAGGACACATATTCCACCCCACTGTTGGGATGACTCCAATTGTGAAGTCCCATAGGTCATAAAGATTCAGAGGAAGGTCTTCAAATCTAGGTTCTAAAATCCGACCCTGAAAACAGTCAACATGGCAAACTTTGGTAAAAAAATGGAGAACCACCAAAGCAGCCTCTTATGTAAAAAGACAAAATTTTGACAAATCTTACCAAAATTTTTTTCTGGAATTTCTTTAAAATAATCTGTTGAGCATCAGATTTTCCCTTTTGCTTTGTAAACCGTATTATTTTTATTTCATTGCCCCTGTTAAGTCACCACCAAAACTTCCTTACTATGAACTCTGGTACTTAAGATGAGTGGACCTCTTGAAACACTTCTCGCAATGTGAGCATGCTTAAGGTTTCTCGTGGCTGTGAATCTTCTAATGGGAGATGAGCTACGATGGCTGGCTAAAACATTTGGCACAGTCCAAGCATTTGCAGGGCTTGTGTTCCGTGTGAATTTTGTAGTGCTCATTCATTTTGGCCTGACTGTAGAAAAACGTCTCGCATGTTTTGTAGACAAATCACTTTAAACCCAAGTGTGTCTTCTGGTGGGCCACCAACCCCGACCACTGACGAAAAATCTTTTCGCACTGAGGGCACCCAAAGGATTTTTGCCCTGTATGAGTGATCTGATGAGACACGGGCCCAGCCCGATGGCAAAAGCCTTTGCCACACTGTGACCAGACAAAGACATTCTCTCGGCGAGGAATAGGGTTCCTCTCTCTGATGCACGATGAGGTAGGATTTTTGCCGGAAGAACTTGCCACAATCGAAGCAAGAAAACGGCTTCTAGCCTGTGTGAAGTCTCATGTGAACGGTCAGCTCCAACTTTTGCCGCATTTTTTTGGACAAGTGAAGGGCTTTTTTACTGTGTGAATTATTTGATATATGACGAGGTACAAATTGATAAAGGGGGCTTACAGGTTCCGATAAGCCCCAGGTCCGCAGACCCCCCAGAACCATAGCCCAGGTGTCAGGACGCAAATGTTCTGCGGCATCGCGCCGGGCGGTGTATGCGCAGAACACCAGTCCTCGCTAGCGGATGAGCATCGGGACCTGGGCGTGCACGGCAGCGGCGGTGTTCGCGCATGCGCACTCGCGATCGCGGACACACGCCTGGCACCAATGACAGCGCAGGGCGGGCTATTTAAACGAGGAACCAGGTATGTCAAATTGCCGTTTGGTCTTACCTGCTCTGTTCCTGATTGTGTTCCTGTGTTATTTCCGTTGCCGATCTCTGCTTGTACCTGACCTGATTCTCTTGATTAACCCCTGGCTTGCCTGACGATTCTTCTGCCTGATCCCTGGTACCGCGCTGCCCGCAAACTGCTGAACCTGGCTTGTGACCCCGACCATTCTCTGCCTGCTCCTCTTGTACCGCGCTGCCCGCACATTAATGACCCGGCCTGCCTGACTACGCTTACTCACCCTCCGATCCATCCATCCCGCACGGATCACTAGTAGTAAGTGTGCCTGCCTCTTCCCATCAGACTCCATTCCGGTAGACCCCTGCCGGTACTCTCTACCACAGCCGGACGCTCTCAGGGGTCGCGACCTGGTTCCAGTCTGCACCAAGTCCATCCCCACCATCAGGGGCCCTGGTGAATAGCAGGCTGGGACTTAGACCCCGCGCCCTGGGGAAATCCGTGCTGTGGGCTGCTAGAGACACTGCCAGGCGGTTCTTAACAGTACCAAACGGCCAAATGTCGGAGCCTGGAAGAGGACCATCCCCGCTGCAGGAAATGTGTCAGCACCTGGCGGCTCTAACTCAGGCGGTAAAGACACTGCAGGAGGGCTACACCCATCTGGACGGTCGGATCCAGACCTTGGCCACCGCCATTTCGGCACCTCAAGATCCGGGTCCCTCACCCGGGGCCGGCAGTCCTGCCAAAACCCCGGTCAGTCACCCCGTGTTTCAGGGCAGGTCAGTAGCCCTACAGGAGATCGCAACCCAGAGTCGTGACGGCAACAGCGATCGTTGACTCCGGGGCATATAGCTGTTTTGTGGATTTGGACTTCGCGGCTCGATTCCAGATCCCCCTACAGGTTAAGGAATGCGGGTTTAACATCTTTTTGGCCGATGGGTCCCGGATCAAGTCAGGGGTGGTGGACCGGGAGACCACACCCCTCTGTGTAACTATCTCCGGGGCTCATCGGGAATTTCTTCGGTTGGATGCTATTACATCCCCTCTGTTTCCAATTATTCTGGGGCTTCCGTGGCTGCGGGCCCACGACCCCCAGATTAATTGGAAAGCTGGTACCCTCCAGTTCAACTCGCCATACTGCCAGGAGCACTGTTGTTCACCTGAGCCGGAGGCTCCACGCGCACTATTATGTGTAGATTCTGACACAGAGCTGACACAACTTATTCCCCCAGCTTATCACCAATACCTTGACGTATTTAGCAAGCGCGGAGCTGACAACCTTCCCCCGCACCGGGCCTATGACTGTCCAATCGATCTACTCCCGGGATCTGAGGTACCGTTCGGGCGAATTTTTTTCCCTTGTCGGAAAAGGAATTGGGGGTACTCAAGGAATATATTGAGGAGAACCTCCAGAAGGGGTTCATACGCCCCTCCACGTCTCCGGCCGGGGCAGGTATTTTCTTTGTTGAGAAGAAAGACAAATCCTTGAGACCCTGTGTGGACTACAGGGAGCTCAACAAGATCACGGTTAAGAACCATTACCCACTTCCTCTAATACCGGAACTATTTCAGCGACTTAAGGCAGCATCTGTTTTTACGAAGTTAGATTTGAGGGGGGCTTACAACCTGGTCCGTATTCGGGAGGGAGATGAATGGAAAACTGCTTTCCGTACAAGGTTTGGGCACTTCGAGTACTTGGTTATGCCCTTCGGTCTGTGTAACGCCCCCGCGACCTTCCAGCACTTCATTAACGATGTGTTCAGGGACTTCCTGGATATTTTTGTGGTCATATATCTCGATGATAATTTAGTTTTTTCTGCATCTCTGGAGGAGCATAGGGGTCATGTCAAGAGTGTGCTGGAATGACTCCGGTTGCATGACCTGTAAGCAAAGGCAGAGAAATGCAGCTTCGAGCAGCATAGTATTCCCTTTTTAGGTCTAATCATTTCTACCACCGGAGTGGCTATGGATCCCCAAAAGATCTCCGCAGTCCTGGAGTGGCGGGTGCCAACGGATAAGAAGGGTGTACAACGGTTTATTGGTTTTGCCAATTTTTACCGGAAATTTATTAAGAATTTTTCAGGCCTGGTATCCCCCATCACGCAACTCACCAAACAAGGAGTGTGTTTCAGGTGGACACCTGAGGCGTAAGAAGCCTTCGAGTCTCTGAAGAAGTTGTTTACTGAGGCCCCCGTGTTGAGTCATCCAGACTCCTCGCTACCCTTTATCTTGGAGGTGGATGCATCCGAAAACGCGGTAGGGGCTGTACTATCCCAAAGGAAGGGCATCAAGGAGTTGATGCATCCTGTGGCGTTTTTCTCCAGAAAACTGTCGTCTGCAGAGAGGAATTATGACATAGGGGATCGAGAACTTCTGGCCATCAAGGCAGCATTGGAAGAGTGGAGGTACTTACTGGAAGGAGCCGTGCACCCAATACTAATTTTCACGGACCACAAGAACCTTGAATACTTGAGAACGGCAAAACGCTTGAGACCACGTCAGGCTAGGTGGGCACTTTTCTTCTCGCGATTTGTGTTTCACATTACTTATAGGCCTGGGTCAAAGAACACGAAACCAGATGCACTTTCGCGTATGTTCGAGGATCCAAAGAACCCCACAAACCTGACACCATTTTGTCGTCTGGAAACTTTCTGGCACTTCAGACCGAGCTATGTTCCCAACTACAGGCAGCGTCCGTAAGGATTCCGAATGTTCCCGGGGGTGCCACTACAGAATAAGGAAGGATTGTGGTGGAAAGAGGGACGAATCTTGGTACCGGAAGAATCCTGCACCGCAGTCTTGGGTCATTGCCATGACCATCCTCTGGCTGGCCACTTCGGGAACCGGAAGACATTGGAACTTCTACAACGTGTGTTCTGGTGGCCCAGCATGTCAAAGGATTGCGAGGCTTACGTGAAGACCTGCGTGGTCTGTCAAAGGAATAAGCCTTCCAGGAACAAGGCTTGGGGGCTGTTGCGACCCTTACCCGTAACTAACAGACCGTGGGAAATGATTTCTATTGATTTTATCGTGGAACTTCCACCATCTCAGGACCATACCGCCATCTTTGTGATTGTGGACCGCCTATCCAAGATGGCCCATTTTTTGCCTCTTAAGAACACACCATCTGCTGCGGAGACAGCCCAAATTTTTGTGAAAGAGGTGGTGAGACTCCATGGAATCCCAAAGGACATTGTTTCAGATAGAGGATTTCAGTTCACCTCAAAATTTTGGAAGGCTCTATGCGAAACCTTGGGAATCAAGTTGTCACTCTCCTCAGCATACCACTCACAGACCAATGGACAGACAGAACGCACTAACCAGACCTTGGAACAGTATCTCCGATGCTATACGTCATTTCTACAGGATGATTGGCTAGCTCTTTTACCACTAGCCGAATTTGCGTATAACAACGCAAACCACGCGGCTACCCAGCAATCTCCATTTTTTGCCAATTATGGGTTCCACCCGACTATTTTACCGGACACGATTCCAGAAATTTCGGTGCCAGCTACGCAAGACTTACTGCATTTTTTTTCAACAAACAATAGGGTCCTACAAGAGGCGATCCGGAAGGCCCAGGATGGCAGTAAGAAAGCTTTTGACAAGAAAAGAAGAGGTGAGCTTGTTCTGCACCCGGGGGATCAGGTCTGGTTGGCCACCACAAACCTAAAAATGACATGCCCATCAAGGAAATTGGGACCAAGATTTATGGGCCCATTTAAGGTGAAACGGAAAATTAACGAGGTGGCGTACGAGCTCATACTTCCTGAGTCTTTCAAAATTCACCCGGTATTTCACGTATCCTTGTTGAAACCCGCAGCCCCGGACCCATTTCCGAACCGGAGATCTAGGCCCCCGGAGGCCATAAACGTTGATGGGGTAGAAGAATTTGAGATTGAGACAATTCTAGACTGCAGGAGGAGGGGAGGCCAGACCCAATTTCTAATTAAATGGAAGGGGTATGGTCCGGAAGAGAATTCATGGGAACCTGCCCAGAATGTTCATGCCCCTAGGCTGAACCGGGAATTTTTTGATATCCATCCACACAAGAGAGAACAAGTGGGCATCCGGCGGCTGCCCGTAGGGGGGGGCAATGTCAGGACGCGAGTGTTCTGCGGCATCGGGCCGGGGCGGCGCATGCGCAGAACACCAGTCCTCGCTAGCGGACGAGCATCGGGACCTGGGCGTGCACGGCGGCGGCGGTGTTCGCGTATGCGCACTCGCGATCGCAGACACGCGCCTGGCACCAATGACAGCGCAGGGCGGGCTATTTAAACGAGGAACCAGGTATGTCAAATTGCCGTTTGGTCTTACCTGCTCTGTTCCTGATTGTGTTCCTGTGTTATTTCTCTTGCAAATCTCTGCTTGTACCTGACCTGATTCTCCTGATTAACCCCTGGCTTGCCTGACGATTCTTCTGCCTGATCCCTGGTACCGCGCTGCCCGCAAACTGCTGAACCTGGCTTGTGACCCCGACCATTCTCTGCCTGCTCCTCTTGTACTGCGCTGCCCGCACATTACCGACCCGGCCTGCCTGACTACGCTTACTCACCCTCCGATCCATCCATCCCGCACGGATCACTAGTAGTAAGTGTGCCTGCCTCTTCCCATCAGACTCCATTCTGGCAGACCAGTGCCGGTGCTCTCTACCACAACCGGACGCTCTCAGGGGTCGCGACCTGGTTCCAGTCTGCACCAAGTCCATCCCCACCATCAGGGGCCCTGGTGAATAGCAGGCTGGGACTTAGATCCCGCGCCCTGGGGAAATCCGTTCTGTGGGCTGCTAGAGACACTGCCAGGCGGCTCTTAACACCAGGGTTGTGGGGAAGAGGCCCTTGTCCCCATTAACCTGAGGACAAGGTGCTTTTGGGGGGAGGGGGGAAGTCCCCCATCCAAAAGCACCCCCATGTTGAGGGCATGTGGCCTCAGATGTCTATGCAAATCGCACCAAAAGTAGTGCATGTACTACTTTAAAAATCGGTGCGGCTCCATCCAAGTAGGAATCGCACCGATATAACCGCTCCAATTGCGGACAGTAGGGTGTGCGACTTGGCCTACGATTTGCAAACCGCACTCGATGTGACCGGGGTGTAAAACCTGAAAGCTGATTGGTTTCTATGCAGAGCTGCACCAGACTTTGCACTCTCCAGTTTTAGTAAATCAACCCTCTACTGTCGGAAAAGGTGGAAGAAGAGATGGTTGTAGTGACTGAACAAGGAGGATCTGGGATTCTTCTCTGGATTTAGTTTTTATTCCTCACCTGGGCTGATCTCTGGAGGAATCTCCTCCTCCTTCCATTTCTCATAGCCGGAGTCTAATAGAGGCTGATGGCTCCTGACCCCCCCACTGGGCACATACTGTCCCCCCATTACTGTCTACTGACAGAGGAGGGGGGAGAAGAAGAGATGGTTGTAGTGACTGAACAAGAAGGATCTGGGACTCTTCTCTGGATTTAGTGTTTATTCCTCACCTGTGCTGATCTCTGGAGGACTTTTCTCCTCTTTGATATTCGTATCCATTTCCCGTTCCAGGGCCTCTGGGTCAATATTGACCATGACCATATTGAGTTCTTCATTTTGAATAACGACATACAATATATATATATATATATATATATATATATATATATATATATATATATATATATATATATATTTAGCCTTTGATGTTTCTGATGCAGGTAAGACAAGGTTCTGGGTTGTTGCTTTGGTCTATAAAACCAAATTACCTTATTCTTTAAAGTAGCTAAGACCTCCAAAGGGATGGGGACATCTCTGTGGTAGGTTCCCATTACTGGATCATTCTACCTGATGGTGGTGAGAGATGGTGTGACCTTCCTGTGTGGAGTCCCGGGAATACAGAGGAGAGGGACATCTCTCTGGTGGGTTCCCATGACTGGATCCATCTGTAGGAAACACACACACACTGACTGAATCCATTGTTTCTATGTGTTTATCAGATGATGGGGGATCTAGGTGGACCCTCCGTACTGCTCTCTCCTTTACAATATAGTCTCATCTTACCCGGTGATGTGAGGGGCGGCTGATTGTCCTTCATGACGTCCTTGTAGAGGTCCTTGTGTCCTATATACTCCCACTCCTCCATGGAGGAATAGGCAGTGACACCCTGACACCTTATAGGAACCTGACACACAATGATACAGTCACCACCAGAACAGGGATTACTCTGATGTATAGGAAGGACTCTGATGTATAGAAAAGACTCTGATGTGTAGGGAGGGCTCTGGCATATAGGAAGGACTCTGATGTATAGGGAGGACTCTGTATAGGAAGGACTCTGGCAAATAGGAAGGGCTCTGTTGTATAGGGAGGACTGGGATGTATAGGGAGGACTCTTTTCATATAGGAAGGAATCTGATGTATAGGAAGGACTCTGGCGCAAAGGGAGGACTCTGTTGTATAGGGAGGGCTCTGTTGTATAGGGAGGACTCAGAGGTATAGGAAGGACTCAGAGGTATTGGAAGGACTCTGGCGTATAGGGAGGACGCTGGCTGGGACTCTAGCGAATAGGAAGGACTCTGATGTACAGGAAGGGCTCTGATGTATAGGAAGGGCTCTGATGTATAGGAAGGACTGGCGAATAGGAAGGGCTCTGTTGTATAGGGAGGACTGGGATTTATAGGGAGGACTCTGGCGTATAGGGAGTACTCTTGCATATAGGAAGGACTCTGATGTATAGGAAGGACTCTGATGTATAGGGAGGACGCTGGCGTAAAGGGAGGACTCTGTTGAATAGGGAGGGCTCTGTTGTATAGGGAGGACTCGGATGAAGGACTCTGGCATATAGGAAGGGCTCTGTTGTATAGGGAGGACACAGAGGTATTGGAAGGACTCTGATGTATAGGAAGGGCTTTGTTGTATAGGGAGGACTCGGGCGTATTGGGAGGACCCTGGCGTATAGGGAGGACGCTGTTGTATAGGGAACACTCTGGCATATAGGGAGGACGCTGTTTTCTAGGGATTACTTTGGCGTATAGGGAGGACTCTGGCGTATAGGGAGGACTTGGGCGTATTGGAAGGACTCTGGCGTATAGGGAGGATTGGCACTGGAATATGATCCTCCTGGGCGTATCCCTCAGTGCACAGAGGGGTGTTATCTCCGCCCTCTCATGCTGACGACAGGTTATTTGGGATGATTTGCAGCTTTCATCCTCAATTTGCTGCTGTGGGTGCAAAAAAATGCGACCCTTTATTTCACAAATGCTGTTCAGAGATTACAAGCCGGAACCAAGGACGCGCTACCACTGTTTCCAAGGGACTGACCCTGACAGTTCTCGCCGGAACGCATAACGAGGAAACGAGTTGGAGCGCAAAACACGGAAGTCACGCTCAGCCGGCGTCTGAAGCGAAGGCGGAAGTTAGCCAGCACGTGGAACGCATAATCCGGAAGCGTCATGGAACGCAAAACCAGGAAGCACACCTCTGGCAGAGCCATCCTCTTCCGGTGTGATAGGACTGAAGGGGACAGAGAAAAGGGTCCTTACGGTAAGTCCTGGGCTTGTGTGTCAGATGGAGGCTCAGTGTGACACCAAGGAGATGAATGGCTGCCTAGAGTCTCTTTGGAGGGTTTATATCAGAATGATGTTGAATCCCTTTAAGCCACATTGTGTGGGCACTGGAAAGACTTAAAATTCACCTCTTTATATTTGATTACCCCAAGTGGTCAGTTATCAGCCCCTTCCTTTGTGCCGGGCTGTTGCGTTATGTGAGATTTCATTCATTTTGTCATTTAAAGGGATACTCTTCTCAGAACCCAAAAAAACAAAGCGCGTCGGGAGTGTCCACTTATCACCCAGAGGGGGCGCCATGGTGTGCCGGCCAAAAGTGGCATTTCGGGAACACCGTACCTTCTCTGAGATGTTCTCAGCCCCGCCCACACAGCTGAAGGGTCCTTAGACCCTCACATGGTGACATCACCCACATGGAACCCAACGATGTTAAGACATGGCCACTAGTGGTTACCCACCTGGAACATGGCCACTGGGGGGGGTCACCCACCTGGAAAGCTTCGGTGTTATTTGACCACTAAGGGGTTATCCACCAGGAATCCTGATATTATGAGATGGTCACTCACCCTGATCCCTTTGATGTTATGACATGACCATTAGTGGGTAACCCAACTGGAACCCTCTGATGTAACAACATGGCTGCTAGGAGGGTTCACCCACCTGGAGCTGTCTGATGTTATAACATGGCCACTAAGGGGTCACCCACCTGGAGCTGTCTGATTTCATGACATGGCCACTAAGTGGTCACCATCCAGGAACCCTCTGATGTTATGACATGGCCACTAAGTGATCACCCTCCAGGAACCATCTGATGTTATGACATGGCCACACTAAGTGGTCACCCTCAAGGAACTCTCTGATGTTGTGATATGGCCACTAAGTGGTCACCCTCCAGGAATGCTCCGATGTTGTGACATGGCCACTAAGTGGTCACCCTCCAGGAACCGTCTGATGTTATGACATGGCCACTAAGTGGTCACCCTCCAGGAACCCTCCGATGTTGTGACATGGCCACTAAGTGGTCACAATCCAGGAACCCTCCGATGTTGTGACATGGCCACTAAGTGGTCACCCTCCAGGAACCCTCTGATGTTATGACATGGCCACTAAGTGGTCACCCTCCAGGAACCCTCTGATGTTATGACATGGCCACTAAGTGGTCACCCTCAAGGAACCCTCTGATGTTGTGATATGGCCACTAAGTGGTCACCCTCCAGGAATGCTCCGATGCTGTGACATGGCCACTAAGTGGTCACCCTCCAGGAACCCTCTGATGTTATGACATGGCCACTAAGTGATCACCCTCCAGGAACCCTCTGATGTTATGACATGGCCACTAAGTGGTCACCCTCAAGGAACTCTCTGATGTTGTGATATGGCCACTAAGTGGTCACCCTCCAGGAATGCTCCGATGTTGTGACACGGCCACTAAGTGGTCACCCTCCAGGAACCCTCTGATGTTATGACATGGCCACTAAGTGGTCACCCTCCAGGAACCCTCTGATGTTGTGACATGGCCACTAAGTGGTCACCCTCCAGGAACCCTCTCATGTTGTGATATGGCCACTAAGTGGTCACCCTCCAGGAACGCTCCGATGTTGTGATATGGCCACTAAGTGGTCACCCTCCAGGAACCCTCCGATGTTGTGACATGGCCACTAAGTGTTCACCCTCCAGGAACCCTCCGATGTTGTGACATGGCCACTAAGTGGTCACCCTCCAGGAACCCTCTGATGTTATGACATGGCCACTAAGTGGTCACCCTCCAGTAACCCTCTGATGTTATGACATGGCCACTAAGTGATCAACCTCCAGGAACCCTCTGATGTTATGACACATGGCCACTAAGTGGTTACCCTCAAGGAACTCTCTGATGTTGTGATATGGCCACTAAGTGGTCACCCTCCAGGAACGCTCCGATGTTGTGACATGGCCACTAAGTGGTCACCCTCCAGGAACCCTCTGATTTTGTGACATGGCTACTAAGCGGTCACCCTCCAGGAACCATCCAATGTTATGATATTGCTCCTAGGGCGTTCAGTGTTATGACCAGTAAGGGGTTATTTGCCGATATTTCGATATGGTCACTAGGTGGTTGCTCACCTGGAATCCTCCAATGTTATGCCATAGCCGCTTGGGGGTGACCCTCATGGAACCCTTCAAAGTTGTGACATGGTCACAAGAGGTCACTCATCTGGAACCCTTTGATGTTACAACATGGCCACTAATGGGTCACCCACCTGGACACTGATTTTATGACATAATCGCTAGCGGTCACCCACCTGGAATCCTCCAATGTGATGTCATGGCTGCCAGGGTGTCACCCACCTGGAGTCCTCTGATATTGTGACGTTACCACTAAGGGGTCACCCACCTGGAAACTTTCAATGTTACAATATGGCCACTAGTAGTTCATCCACCTGGAACACTCTTTTATGACATGGCCACTTGTGGGTCACCTACCTGGAAACCTTCAGTTTTGTGACATGGTAACAAGGGGACCACCAACCTGGAAACCTTTGATATTGTGGTATTTACTCTAAGGGGTCACCCACCTCAAAAGTTCTACTGTTAGGACATGGCCATTAGTGGGTCACCCACCTGGAACACTCTGATTTTATGACATGATCACTAGGGGGTTACCCACCTGGAACCCTCCAAAGGCCACTGGGAAGTCATCTACTTGGAACTCTCTGATGTTATTACATGGTCACAAGGGGGTCACCTTTCTGCAGCCCTGTGATGTTATGACTTGGCTGCTTGAGGGTCACCTACATAGAACTCTCTGATCGTATAATATGGTCACTAGGGGGTCACCCACCAGGAACCAGCTGATGTTATGACATCTGTAATTGTAATCCTTTGTTTTTATGACATGACCACTAGTGGGGGTGGTGGTGGTGATGGGGGGTTACTCATTTGGATCCCTATGATGATTTGACCACTAGGGGGTCACCCACCTGGAACCCTCCAATGTTGCAAGATGGCAACTAGGGGGTCACCCACCTTGAACCGGCTGATGTTAAGACATATGGAGCCCTCCGTTTTTATGACACGTCCACTGGGGGAGTCACTCACTTGCATCCCTATGAAGATTTGACCACTAAGAAGTCACCCAACTGCAGCCCTCTGATGGTTTGATATGGCCACTAGGAAGGTCACCCACCTGGAATCCTCCAATGTTGCAACATGGCCACTAGGGAGGTCACCCACCTGGAACCCTCCAATGTTGCGACATGGTCACTAGGGGGTTGCCTACATGTGCTTATCTCCAAAATCTTTAGCAACAGAAGTAACCTCAGTAGTAGAAAATATCATTAGTATCATTCAAAAATGACTAACTGAGCACCACACCAACTGAAAAACAACAACCAAAAAAAGAAGTGCTGACTTTCTTCCATTGACTGACCCTTTGGGTACAAGCGAGCACCTGACCTCATCTGATGATGGCCCTATCAATGTCACATCCTGGAGGCTTTGACACCATGTAAGTTGACACATCTGGTGTTTGGGACCACAGGGACAGCGGAATGATGTAAAGGTCAATAAAAGGTGTCCTGTGGTAGGCTTTAAAGAGACCCAAATGGGCAAAGTGACAGAGTGTCTTTAACGATCAGTTTTTTGGGGGGCTCAAATGTTGTTGGCTCTAAAAGAAAAGATTTGAAGTGCAGGCTTTTGGAGTGTCCTTGTTGACCAGAGATCCGTGAGGAGAAGATGAAAGTTAAGGCTTGAAAATGTTCCTGCCACCAGTACAATATATTGCACCCTCTTACCCATGGAAGATGAGGAGGAACACCAGGTGCCGCAGTGGACTAATACTTCAAACCTTAGGGCGGAATTTTTGACTTTTTATGGAGTGAAAACAAATTGGTCACCAGTCACAATGAAAAAAAGGAGAAAGAGTTAAAGTGTAGGATGCCCAAAAATTTTCAAAATGACTTCTCTTTTTATCAACAATCGGCACAGGCTGTGGACCTTTAAGCCGAGTCTGGCAATCTGAACTAGTAGACTGTTAGCCAGGTAGCTCAAGTACCTTCTAAGGCAGGGGTAGGCACCTTTGGCATGTCAGCTGTGATGAAACTGCAAGCTCCATGAGGAGCTTCAAGACCCTAACCGCCGCAGACCTGCCTCCTAGAGGCAGTAGCATGATGGGATTTGTAGTTGGTGGGCTGAGGTTGCCTACCCTGTTCTGGGATGAGCAGCCAGAACGTAGCTTATACCCCGCTCTCCAAGACATTCTTCAGCACTGAAGTCCCTTTCCCAAGATGCTTCATACTGAGAGCCAACTTCCTGCACCAATCCTTATGGGTAGAACCAGACCAAGGCAAGGCCAACTCAAGGTAGAGGATGGAACACTGTGCTTGAATGAATGGATATCTGTCTCTTGCTTAGACATTGGATTGCTCCAAAGCCCCTACACTGCAAATCACATACGTCCAATATACAGGTCAAGGGTGACACCAGAGTGTACTGTAGATGAAGACAGTAATGTACTGTGTGAAGTCTGTCCATTTCTTATTAATTCTGTTAGTGATTTTTAGCAAAAGAGTCTTCAGCAATGATGCTCCAAAACTCCTACTATGTGTCCTCTTCCAAAATAGGTTATCCAGAAACCTGTCCTTATTACCGGGCCTTGGGCCCAGTCTCAAGATGGAGAAGGATCGGAGTCACATGACTGAGCAAATAATTAAACTCACCCTGAAGATACTCTACCTGCTGACCGGAGAGGTGAGGAGGATTCTGGGAGGTCACATGACATCACTCTAATCTCATTTAATAAACCACAGACCTGACCGGAGAGGTGAGGAGGATTCTGGGAGGTCACAAGACATCACTCTAATCTCATTTAATAAACCACAGACCTGACCGGAGAGGTGAGGAGGATTCTGGGAGGTCACATGACATCACTCTTATCTCATTTAATAAAACAGACCTGACCGGAGAGGTGAGGAGGATTCTGGGAGGTCACGTGACATCACTTTTATCTGATTTAATAAAACACAGACCTGACCGGAGAGGTGAGGAGGATTCTGGGAGGTCACATGACATCACTCATCTCTATTAATAAAACACAGAGCTGACCGGAGAGGTGAGGAGGATTCTAGACGATCACATGACACCACTCTGATCTCTATTAATAAAACACAGACCTGACCGGAGAGGTGAGGAGGATTCTGGGAGGTCACATGACATCACTTATCTCTATTAATAAAACACAGACCTGACCGGAGAGGTGAGGAGGATTCTGGGAGGTCACATGACATCACTCTTATCTCTATTAATAGAACACAGACCTGATTGGAGAGGTGAGGAGGATTCTGGGAGGTCACATGACGTCACTCATCTTTATTAATAAAACAGACCTGACCGGAGAGGTGAGATCTTGACTTGTAAGGAAATTTCATAATGTTTGTCTTTATATAGGTTTATGTACCTGATACAAATTCCAGTGATCGTGTGACATCCAAGGGCCACCACCTTGTCTCAGGTGGATGGAGGGGGATCCAGAGCCCCACCAAGGACCCTCCCCCTCCCTCTGTGATGATTGAGAAGAACAATGACAAGATTCTGGAACTCATCAGGAAGATGATGGATCTGCTGACAGGAGAGGTGAGCGGTGCCGGGAATTCTGGGACGTTATCCAGTAACAGACAAGGGATGTGTCTGGATGGTGACTGTATTATTGTGTGTGTCAGGTTCCTATAAGGTGTCAGGATGTCACTGTCTATTTCTCCATGGAGGAGTGGGAGTATTTAGAAGGACACAAGGACCTCTACAAGGACGTCATGATGGAGGATCAGCCGCCCCTCACATCACCGGGTAAGAGGAGACTTTGTTGTAAAGGAGAGAGCAGTACGGAGGGTCCACCTAGATCCCCCATCATCTGATAAACACATAGAAACAATGGATTCAGTCAGTGTGTGTGTTTCCTACAGATGGATCCAGTCATGGGAACCCACCAGAGAGATGTCCCCGTCCTCTGTATTCCCGGGACTCCACACAGGAAGGTCACACCATCCCCCACCACCATCAGGTAGATGTATCCAGTAATGGGAACCCACCAGAGAGATGTCCCCGTCCTCTGTATTCCCTGGACTCCACACAGGAGGAAATCATCATCCCTGAGGATTCTGCTGAAGAACATCACCCATGCTTTCAAAAAACGATCTCTGAGGTATATCAAACAATGAGGGGACTTTCCTAATACCGGAGCAGCTGTGTATGACAACTAATCGGCTTCCAGCTTTCATTTTCAAAGCTTAACTGAACAATCTGAATTGAGAAGCTGATTGGTCACTATGCAGAGCGGCTGCAGATTCTGTCTGCTCCAGTTTTAGTAACTTCACGTTCTTTGCTAATGTGGAGTGAGCCATTTGTATTCAATTTTTCCATTCCTGGTTTTGCCCATTTATGACCCTGATTTGTCTTTTAATAGCAAAAGCAAACCTTACAGTCTAACTGAAGGCAAAACTTTTTAGTTTTGGACAGAGTGGAGAGGGATTGGAACCCCTGTTAGTTTTTATTGCTGTCTGTGCCCCCATCAGGGAGATTCCCTCTCTCCATTTGTCCTGTTTACCAATACAGGCGTACCTCGGTTTTACGAATGAAAATCCATTGAAAATAATACCTCGGTTTACAAATTCTTTTCACAATACGAATTGTGTGTCGATTTTTAAATGCAATTGCTGGCTTTTTTGTTTCTTCCCTATAGCTCACAGAATCAGCTGTCACTATCCCCGGAGTTACAGGAAACTTTGTTTCTTTTAAGTAACTAAAAGGAAACATTGTTTCTCTTAACTCGGAAAATAAACTAAAAAAAACTTTCTTTCTTTTAGCTGGGGTGGGGGGAAAGTGACAGCTGAATCTCTGAGCTATAGTGAAGAAAAAAAAAAAGCAGTAATTACATTTAAAAACCGGCACCATAATAAATAAAAAAACGGCGTGGGGTCCCCCCCTCCCATCCATACCAAGTCCTTCGGGTCTGGTATGGATTTTGAGGGGAACTCCCATGCCAAGATTAAAAAAAAATGGCATGGGGGTCCCCCCCCAAAAATCCATACCAGACCCTTATCCGAGCATGCAAGCAGGTCAGGAAGGGGGGGGGGGGGGGGCGAGCAAGCGGGCTCCCCCCTCCTGAACCATACCAGGCTGTTCTCAACATGGGGGGGTGCCCCCCCCCCCCAAAGCACCTTGTCCCCATGTTGATGGGGACAAAGACCTCTTCCCCACAACCCTGGCCGGTGGTTGTGGGGGTCTGCTGGCAGGGGGTTAATGGGAATCTGGAAGCCTCCTTTAACCACTTCCAGTCTGGACACTTTCACCCCCTTCCTGTCCAGGACAATTTTCAGCTTTCAGCGCTATCACACTTTGAATGACAATTGCGCGGTCATGCAACATTGTACCCATATGAATTTTTTAGACAGATAAAGCTTTATTTTGGTGGTATTTATTCACCGCTGGGATTTTTATTTTTTTTGCTATGTAAATGAAAAAGTCCAAAAATTTTGAAAAAAGTGTTTTTCTTATGAAATTTCAAATAAATAGTCTAGCATCATAAATCTTGGCCAAAATGTATTCCGTTATCTTTTTAGTACAAAAAAAAATAACCAAAATTAGTTTATAACCAAACATTATCATTTGTAAACATTTTGTTTTTACATTTTTATTTTACTATATTATTATTTATTTTTTTTTTTTACATACCGTCACCCTAGCAGTACAGTGTCACCATGGTGACACTGTACTACTTGTGGGGGGTGATGAAGATTTTTTTTTTTTTTACACTGATTGCTTTTGCACCCATAAAGGCTGTAAAAGCAATAATTTCTCCTTCTCTCTGGCTGCATTCTTGCAGCCATTGAGAACTACTGTGTGAGCTGTGATTGGTCACAGCTTGTCACATGGTACAAGGCTGTTGTGAATAGCCCTGTACCATGTGTTCTCTGTGATCATTCACAGATTTCACACATAGTAAACAATGATGTCAGAAGTGATATCTTGCTTACTACTCTGCATGTGATCTCTGATTGGCCAATCAGTGATCACATAATCGGGACCTCGCACAGAGGTCCCGTACGACGATCGGTGTTCCACTGTGTCCGGTGGACACAGCAGGCACCGGATTGCGGTGCTGCGCACTCCCAGGGAGCGCGCACAGTCCATAATGGACTGCCACCGTCCGGCCGTTTATATACAGCGGCCGGACGGCAAGTGGTTAATAAGGGGGCCCCCCCCTATGGGAATGAGTATGGGGTACATGGTACCTCTACCCATTCACAAAAAAACAAAAAGTGTACTGTGAAAGAAGACAGGACACGCAGTGCTATACATTTATAGCTGAGGGTGTGTGGCTTTTTTAACTGAGGGGGCGTGGCTTAGTTCGCCTTAATTTAATGTGATATTTCCGGTCCAAATGGCCTTAAATCTTTTTTTGCCTCGTGTAGAACGAACATTCTGATATTTGGACAATTGACTCCGATCCGGGAATGGAGGAGGAGGAAACGTACTCCGAAAATAACCTGCAAGGCAATGAGGAGGAGATTGGGAATTATATCAGTACAGGTGAGTAGGGAATACTTAACGTGGTTGTAAACCGCAGACGTGAAATATGAACAAAGCACATCCCTCTATAGTGTGTACTTGTCTCAATCCAGAGCGCTGAGCGTCATTTCTGCCTGCTGCCTCATTCCTCTGCTATCTGTATGAGTCATGTCTGAAAGGTTTTCCTGACACCAAAAGAAAAATAAAAAAGTGACGAGAGGGAGCTCCAGCACACAGCCTGTGATTGACAGCCTCAGCTTTGCTCCCGTGTGCTGCTGTGTTGAGGGGGGGTGTCCTTTCTCTCCAATCAGCTTTCGCTGTTCTATGCCGTGTGTAACTTCTGCTCCCCTCCCCCTGCATTCTTCTTAACAGCGTTTTTCAGCATTTAGGAGCAGAAAAAAATGTTTTTTGTAGAGTTTTTGGGAGAAAAAAGCGCTAAACGCTACTAAACAGCTTTTTTTAAAATTTTTTTTTCAGTCCTTGCTAATAACACGCTAAGGCTCCTAAACGCTACTAAAAATGCTATCACCAGCATTTTTGTAGCCAGCACTTTTGCCAGCGTTTCTCCATGCTAGTGTGCAGAATGGATACAGCTTGTCAGAAAGCGGGGGGCAGGGAGCTGAAGTTACACTCTTCAGAGCTCAGTGAGAGCTGTTTGGTTGAAGGGACACCCCCCGCTTACCTTCACACAGCACACAGGAACAGTATTGAAGTTGTCAATCACAGGCTGTGTGCTGGAGCTCCCTCCTGCGTCACCTTTTTTCCTCTTGGTGTCAGAAATGCTTGTCAGAAAGTGACTCATGCTGATAGCAGAGCAAAGGAGGCAGCAGGCAGAAATGACACTTTGTGCTCTGGACTGAGACAAGTACACATTTCAGAGGGGTGTGCTTTGTTCATATTTCGTGCAACCACTTTAAGTGTACAGACGGGTATCAATGTGATAAGAGTCCGCTATTTTATGTATGTTTAATGCTTTTTTTTTTTTCCAGATTCGAGTGCTGGCAATACCCCAGAGAGATATATTGACCCTATTTATCCCGAAGAGTATTTGCTAAATGAGACGCCCTACAAGAGACATAAAGAGGTGCCGCCCTGCTTTTTAACATGTAAATTGGGGCTTAAAGTGGATCTCCAGTCAATTTTTTTCAAATTTTTAGACGGAGCATTGAAGTTTTAGGACCCCCCACCCTGTCAGAATTGTATTGTCTGTGTCCCTGCCAAGGAGATTCAACCTCAAGATTCGTGTCACAGGCACAGAAATCTTACAAAGGAAACTCTAATTTAAAGCAGAGTTCTACCTAGAAAAAAAAAAAGTCAGCAGCTACAAAAACTGTAGCTGCTGACTTTTAAAATACAGCCACTTACCTGACCCTCGGTCCAGCGGTGTCTTCATCACGGTTCTTTTTCACCGGCCATCTTCTCTCCCCGGAGCCGGCATCTTCAGTGTGGGCACCCAGCTGTGACAACTTGCGGCTTCACAGCCGGGTGTCTACTGAGCATGCGCGAGAAGTGCTGCGCTTTGTGAATGGCCCTGTAGTCTTCTGGGACCTGTCACGTGTCCCAGAAGACTACGGGGAGGGAGGACAACTCCCATTTCCGATCGCCTTGGACAGAAGTGGGAGCAGGTACTTGTCAAATTCGGGTACTCCTCCCCCCCCCCCCATTATGATGGGCACTGATGAGGTGGCACAGATCGGCGGCACTGATGGGCACTGATGAGGTGGCATGGATAGGCAGCACGGATGGGCACTGATGGGGTGGCACGGATAGGCAGCACTGATGGGCACTGATGAGGTGGCACAGATCAACGGCACTGATGGGCACTGATGAGGTGGCACGGATAGGCGGCACTGATGGGTACTGATGAAGTGGCACGAATAGGCAGCACTGATGGGCACTGATGAGGTGGCACGGATAGGCGGCACTGATGGGTACTGATGAGGTGGCAGGAATAGGCAGCACTGATGGGCACTGATGAGGTGGCAGGGATAGGCAGCACTGATGTGCACTGATGAGGTGGCACGGATCGGCGGCACTGATGGGCACTGATGAGGTGGCATGGATACGCAGCACGGATGGGCACTGATGAGGTGGCACGGATAAGCAGCACTGGTGGGTACTGATGAGGTGGCACGGATAGGCGGCACTGATGGGCACTGATGAGGTGGCATGGATAGGCAGCACGGATAGGTACTGATGAGGTGGCACGGATAGGCAGCACGGATGGGCACTGATGAGGTGGCACGGATAGGCAGTACTGATGGGTACTGATGAGGTGGCATGGATAGGCGGCACTGATGAGGTGGCACGGATAGGCAGCACTGATGGGTACTGATGAGGTGGCACGGATAGGCAGCAAGCACAGATGGGCACTGATGAGGTAGCACGGATAGGCAGCACTGATGAGGAGGCATGGATAGGCAGCACTGATGGGCACTGACGAGGTGGCACGGATAGGCAGCACTGATGGGTACTGATGAGGTGGAAGGGATAGGCGACAATGATGGGCACTGATGAGGTGGCACGGATAGGCAGCACTAATGGGCACTGATGAGGTGGCACGGATAGGCGGCACTGATGGGTACTGATGAGGTGGCACGGATAGGCAGCACTGATGGGCACTGATGAGGTGGCACGGATAGGCAGCACAGATGGGCACGGATCGGCGGCACTGATGGGCACTG